GATTTGGAGGCTCTCTTTTTATCACTATATTGGTATTCTAATCATTCCGTCTCGGATATGCGTTATATCGCAATAGAAGACTGTTGTTTTGGATCGCAGATGAAAACGCTCGAAACTGGATCTAAAAATACGCCATATCGGATCTGCATAACATCGGAAGACAGGGCTCTGTTTTGGATCTGAAGATGAAAATAACAGATTCAAAAAACAGGTATGGTGAAATTTGATTTATTGTTTGTAATCAAAGTTTTTATGAAGATACTTGTCGTATTAAGTACGTAAAAGGTATTTTAGCGAGATGAAGAAATATGATGGTCTATACTTTTATTATTTTGTTTCAGCCACCATAGGGGAGGCAAATCCGACGCTGGACGAAAAGCTCCATGAGATGCATCCACAAGCCTTTTTATGGAAGATGCTTTAATAAATATAAAAATGAATGTCATAAACGGCTATCCATGAACTAACAACCATAGATATATTTGAGTTGATGTACAAACTGTCATCCAAGGATGAAAATGTGTCGTCTGTTCCATGTTTATATGCCATCCACAAATTGTCATTCATGAATATATTTTTAGTGACTAAATCGATTGCATCCACAAAATTTCATCCATGGAAGAGTAGACATTTGAATTGAAAAGGCTGATGTGGATGTAGTGGATAGTGTTTGTATTTCTGTTTGTAGTGTCGTAATAATCTACGGACATGGATACTTTAATACCCATCCAAAATTTGTTATTCACCAACAAGTGTCCATAAAAAACTCCTTATCGCATTCTAGTTTATTCAACAATCCACATGCTTTAATTGATAAAGATATTGTCAAGTTGTCCAGAAGGAGTCGTTCATATCGGTGCATCCATGAGACACAAATGTTACACGGCTATAACGATGCAAATAACCTTGGTCGACATCAAAAGGTGAGGTTACCTTTACTTAGGGATTAACCAAATGTGTATAAGTGAGATGTATTTCGTGGATGTACCTGCGTGGATAGTGTTTGTATTTCTGTTTGTAGTGTCGTAATAATCTACGGGTGTGGGTACTTTAGTACCCATCCAAAATTGGTTATCCACCGATAAATGTCCATAAAAAAAACTATTTATTGCACTTCAGTTTATTCGACCATCCACATGCTTTAATTGCTAAAGATATTGTTAAGCCGTCCAGAAAGAGTCATCCATATCGGCGATAATCATACTTTCAGTCAACAAGTTCCATACAGATAAACTTATACTTCGTAGTTAGCAAATATCTCAGTTGTATCTAACATGTTTTCATAATTGATATGTTGTTCCAGAGATCTTAAAAGTTCCTGATAATAAGTGATTATATTGAAGAGTCAATTACTGTAGAATAAGAAAAATTTGACAGGCTCATCTATGTCTTCGCCATTTTCTCTAATGGGTGGTTATGACATCGACTTTGGATCTAGCAGTTTAAATTTTTTTATTTCGGGGACGGAGAGAAAGTTCGTAAGAGAGATCTAAATGATGTTAATTTATTTATTTAAAGTTTTGATTTCGATTTTTGATTTTGATGGTGGCTGAGAGAATGTTTGTAAGTGAGATCTAAAAATTGGATCTTTGCAAAGATGTGAAAATTTATTGTTAGTTTCAGTAAGGGTTTTTGGGGAAATTAACTTGACCAAAAGCAAGCAAAAACAAAGGAAAGTACTCATATTGAATATAGTGTCTTTTTCTGCTATTAGAGTTAAAGAAAGTAGTTTTTAATGTAATTTTCTCATAAAACCCTCACACTTAGCCATCCACCTCTTTATCCCTTGTTTTTATTACTTATGATCATTGAAGGTCTTTGTATTTCGAATATTATATAAGCTTTTAGCATTGTATTTTTATCTATAATTTAAATTTAAATTAAAATATTATTTTGTTTTTAAAAATAAATTTTTTAAAACCAATAATGTTTCTGCGAATTGTTTTAATATTTATGAAATCAAATTTTTAAAAGATTCGTGGAAAATTTAAAAATCTATATCAAAAATAGCTTTTAAAAACTAGAGTCTAAAACTATGTCTGTGAAATCAAATACAAATTGGTTACAATCATTATTCAATCTTCCATCACTTAGCTAGCTTGAAATATGTTGATTCATACTGTGAGAATTGGTAGATTATATTCTTACTAGTATTCCTCCCGTACTATGTATGGGATAACAATCGGTACATAACAATGAAAAAATATTTATATAATCGAAATTATTTTACTCATTGGTTTGAGAACATGTGATCTTTACAACCTATTGTATGCTATATCTTTTAAATCTAAATAACATAAATCAGACATGACTAAACCATCAAACATCGAATATATCAAACATCGACTATAACTAAAGTTTTTTTACCGAAAATCTAAACGTTGAAATTATAAAGAAAAAGAAAAGTATCAAAGTACTCACTTTCATATTTCCATATGAAAATGTCTATTGTTTTCATTTTTATTTATTTTTGAAACACTATTGTTTGTATATACAATAAGAAAATAGAAAACGTTTTAACAATTAACGAAAATATTACCTTTAATCAAAAGTTTTTCCTCCGATTCTGTCAAATCTATGTCTGGCTGGGACATTCAGTATGGTCCCAATTTTGAAATTCAAGAAGAAGAAGTAGAAAACTTTCATATTCTGTTTTCGATCAATTGGGTTTAAATTCGGATCTAAACAATTTTGTTTTTGTCCTAGCCAGTGAATGAGATGGAGATCATGGGGAGAAACAGTTAATGTATGTTGTATCTTTTAAATGTAAATAACATAAATCAGACATGACTAAACCATCAAACATCGAATATATCAAACATCGACTATAACAAAAGTTTTTTTACCGAAAGTCTAAAAAGATTGAAATTATAAAGAAAAAGAAAAGCATCAAAGTACTCACTTTCATATTTCCTTATGAAAAAAGTCTATTGTTCTCATTTTTATTTTATTTTTGAAACACTATTGTTTGTATATACAATAAGAAAATGGAAAATGCTTTAACAATTAATGAAAATATTACTTTTAATCAAAAGCTTTTCCTCCGATTCTATCATATCTATGTATGGCTGGTACATTCAGTATGGTCCCAAATTTTAAATTGAAGAAGAAGAAGTAGAAAACTTTCATATTCTGTTTTCGATCAATTGGATTTAAATTCGGTTTTAAACAATTGTTTTTTTGTCCTAGCGAGTGAAAGAGATGGAGATCATGGGGAGAAGCGGTTAAGAAACTGCTGAAACTTTAATTAATGCATTTTAATTTGTTTTTTTCTATTAATTAACCATGAAACACACAAATCCATGTGGTAAGCAAATCAAAAATAATTTTAATTAGAAAATAAAAATTACACGTGTTGCTTTTAGAATTGTCAATTCACTTCTGTTTTATAAGTATAAAGACTAGTATTCTTCCCGTACTATGTACGGGATAACAATCGGTACATAACAATGGAAAAATATTTATAAATTCGAAATTATTTTACTCATTAGTTTGAGAACATGTGATCTTTACTACCTAATGTATGCTATATCTTTTAAATCTAAATAACATAAATCAGACATGACTTAACCATCAAACATCGAATATATCAAACAGCGACTATAACCAAAGTTTTTTTACCGAAAATCTAAAACGTTGAAATTATAAAGAAAAAGAAAAGTATCAAAGTACTCACTTTCATATTTCCTTATGAAAAATTCTATTGTTTTCATTTTATTTTTATTTTTGAATCACTATTGTTTGTATATACAATAAGAAAATGGAAAAGGCTTTAACAATTAATGAAAATATTACCTTTAATCAAAAGCTTTTCCTCCTGTTCTATCATATCTATGTCTGGCTGGTACATTCAGTATGGTCCCAATTTTTAAATTGAAGAAGAAGAAGTAGAAAACTTTCATATTCTGTTTTCGATCAATTGGGTTTAAATTCGGTTCTAAACAATTGTTTTTTTTGTCCTAGCGAGTGAAAGAGATGGAGATCATGGGAAGAAGCGGTTAAGAAACTGCTGAAACTTTTATTAATGCATTTTAATTTGTTTTTTCCTTTAATTAACCGTGAAACACACAAATCCATGTGGTAAGCAAATCAAAAATAATTTTAATTAGAAAATAAAATCACACGTGTTGCTTTTAGAATTGTTAATTCACTTCTGTTTTATAAGTATAAAGACTAGTATTCCTCTTGTACTCTGTACGGGATAACAATCGTTACATAACAATGGAAAAATATTTATATAATCAAAATTATTTTACTCATTAGTTTGAGAACATGTGATCCTTACTACTTAATGTATGCTATATCTTTTAAATCTAAATAACATAAATCAGACATGACTAAATCATCAAACATCGAATATATCAAACATTTACTATAACCAAAGTTCTTTTACCGAAAATCTAAAACGTTGATATTATAAAGAAAAAGAAAAGTATCAAAGTACTCACTTTCATATTTCCTTATGAAAAAAGTCTATTGTTTTCATTTTTTTATTTTCGAAACACTATTGTTTGTATATACAATAAGAAAATGGAAAAGACTTTAACAATTAATGAAAATATTACCTTTAATCAAAAGCTTTTCCTCCGATTCTATCATATCTATGTCTCGTTGGGATATTCAGTATGATCCCAATTTTTAAATTGAAGAAGATGAAGTAGAAAACTTTTATATTCTGTTTTCGATCAATTGGGTTTAAATTCGGTTCTAAACAATTGTTTTTCTTTTATCTTAACTAGTGAAAGAGATGGAGATTATGGAGAAAAACTGTTAAGAAACTGTTGAAACTTTTATTAATGCATTTTAATTTGTTTTTTTTTCTTTAATTAACATGTGATAAGCAAATCAAAAATAATTTTAATTAGAAAATCAAAATGACATGTGTTACTTTTAGAATTTTAGAATTGTCAATTCACTTATATAATGTCATTATTTAATTTAATAGTAAAATTCAGTTGTTAAAAAAGAAACAAACAATTTAGACAGATGTTAATCTACAAATCGGCACGAATTGCGAAACAAGTGATTTATCCAAAACTGATAAAAGAAACATAATAATAATAAAAAAAAAAAACCACTAAAGGCAGGATTGGCTTGAATTTCCTCACCTGTATTTGATCTCATTGCTATGAAATTAGGGCTTATCATCCCTCAAAGTTATTTACTTCCATCGGTCGATTGTCTTCACAGTCTCAATCTCTCTCTCTCTCTCTCTCTCTCTCTCTCTCTCTCTCTCTGCATATACCCTTCTAATTTAGCGGATATGAACGTATAATGGAATCTGTGGTTATTTGTTCGTCAATCAAATTCATGATCCTTAGATAGGGGTCTCTGTAAAGTATGATATTTGTTGGATGCTTGGATTTGCGAGTAGTTCTCTTGATTTTGCAGATATCGATGCATGCCTTTTTTTTTCTTTTTTGGGTATTGATCTATTTAGATTTTGTATGATGGTGTCTATTAAGTGATTCTGTTTTAACTAATAAATCTTTGACCTTTTGATGAGGATAACAGGGAAATTTAGGTTAATTATATTTTTTTTGTTATCTCAGGAAGAGTTTTCTTAGCTTACTGTTAACATAATGCTCTTGATCTGAAATAGGTTTTCTTTGAATTTCAGTAAGACAACGTTCGATTCCCGTTATTCGCAGTAAGAGTGGCCTAATGGAATCTGGAGCAGAAGCATTGGTTCAAAGGAGAAGCCTTTATCCTCCAATTGAACCATACAAAAATGGGATTCTAAAGGTTTCAGATATTCACACATTGTACTGGGAGCAATCAGGAAAACCCGATGGACACGTACGTTAACCATTGTAAACCCGAATGAATCAATCAGTTTGATGTAATCAAATGCTTTGGAGCTGTAACTTTGGTTTTAGGCTTTTTCGTTTGAAGTCTGATGTATATATGTCTTAAAGTTTCTGACTTTTGCATTGTACTTGCAGCCAGTTGTTTTTCTTCACGGAGGGCCAGGAGGAGGAACAGCTCCTAGTAACCGGAGATTCTTCGATCCTGGGTTTTACCGGATTATTCTGTTTGACCAGGTCGGTCTCTTAAATTTTGTAGACTTTACATTACATGATCCAACTTTTATATTAACCCTTTTGTTTTTGTCTAGAGAGGTGCTGGAAACAGTACACCACATGCTTGCTTAGAGGAAAACACAACATGGGACCTTGTGAATGATATTGAAAAACTAAGAGAACATTTGAAAATTCCAGAATGGCAGGTGAAAAATATGCTTCTTCTTGTTGTTGAGATGGAAATATGCAATAAGAGTGTGAACATTTGCGTTCTCTGTCTGTGCAGGTTTTTGGTGGATCATGGGGAAGTACTCTTGCACTTGCGTACAGCCAGTCTCATCCTGACAAGGTGCAAATCATGATGTTTACATTCTAACAACTGAGAAATAATCTCAATCTGATTGCTATGTAATTGCATATTTGAAGCTGCAAGAAGAAAAGGAGTGATGGAGGGATTGATTGATTGGATTTTTGATGTAATATGTAGTATCCTTTTGTTATGTTAATTAGAGTTTAAATAAGCTTGATACTTGAAGCAAAAGGTGGAAGTTTACATCTATCTTAAGATAACATTAACACATTTTCTGGTTAATGGAAATTGGGTGCTATCCAAAATCAAAGGATGTAGGGGATGCAATAAGTAGTATCATTTTGTTATATTCATTAGAGTTTAGATAATCTATCTTGAGATAACCTTAACACATGTTTTTGTTTCTTGGTGTAAGGTTACTGGTTTGGTCCTTAGAGGGATCTTTCTGTTGCGGAAGAAGGAGATTGATTGGTTTTACGAAGGTGGTGCTGGTGCTATATATCCTGATGGTAATTCTCTTTCTTGTGAACATTTCTTTTTAAGCTTTTAGTGATTATGACACTAGAGTTTCACTTGCAATTTCTATTAGAGTCTTGCTGAAGAGCTTTCATGCTTTATCTTCTTCATAAGTGTTTGTTTCTTTGTTTTCAAAAGCTTGGGAGGAGTTCAGAGATCTTATTCCAGAAAACGAGAGAGGTAGCCTTGTGGATGCATATCACAAAAGATTGAATTCTGATGATCTCGAAACTCAAGTACGCATTGAGCATTGGTCTTTTAATTTGGCAGTTGAATTCTTGTATTTTGGTTTGTAACCTAAATAGTTTTGATTAGTCTGTGTCTTTCAACGACAGTAACAGTTTCCATTTTGATTTTATAGTATGCAGCTGCAAGAGCTTGGACTAAGTGGGAAATGATGACTGCACATCTTCTTCCAAATGATGAAAACATTCAAAAGGCAGAAGATGATAAATTCTCACTGGTTAGTTTCGAGTAGTGTTCCAATCTTATCTGTATTCTTATATAAACGTCCTGTCTTTAAAGTAATCTCATAACTTCGCTCCACAGGCGTTTGCAAGGATTGAAAATCACTACTTTGTTAACAAGGGTTTCTTTCCCTCAGACTCATACTTGCTTGACAATGTTGACAAAATCAGACATATCAAGACCACTATTGTTCAGGTACATACTTCAAATAGGAACTTAGAATTGTGGATTCAATTTGCTTTACTTAGGGCATTTATATTTCTTGTTTGGATGCTAAACTTTGATTTGGCCTATATTTTGGGATTTGGCTGAAGAAAATGAATTCTAACTGTGTCTGGGATTATTACAATGGACAGGGGAGGTATGATGTATGTTGTCCTATGATGTCTGCTTGGGATTTGCACAAAGCATGGCCTGAGGCAGACCTTACGGTAAAGCTAAAGTCTTTCTTTTTCTAAGTTCTTTTTGCTTCTTGTGTCCAATTGGTAACGAGGCCCGTCTGTCTGCAGATTGTTGGCGATGCTGGACACTCGGCAAATGAGCCTGGAATCGCAGCAGAACTTGTGGTTGCAAATGAAAAGATGAAAGCAATTGTGGGATGAAAGTAACTGATCGAACGGTTTGTTAATTTTCTTGGGGACTAATGTTCATATTTTCTTGTTGTTGCGCATGAGCATTTAACGTGAAACCAAAGGTTGTTTTTTGTAGAAGTAATACGTTGAATCAGATGGTTATGTAAGTGGAAACTAGGCTTGGGCATTCGAGCGTGATTGGCTTTTTTGGGTTTTAGGTGTTTCGGTATTAAGAATTTAGGACCCATTCGGATATATTTTTTTGGGTGAAATTGGTGGATAGCAAGATATGGGTAGAAAATTAGCATATAGACAACGATAGAAAAGTAGACGAAAATAACAAAAAGATATCTATTGTTAAATAGATAATGATTATCTACTCTTTTTGTCTTTATTAATTAAAATTTGGTTACTAAGTTAAGCGAATGTTTACTATAAATAGATGTCTTGATATAACATTACATACATGAATATAAGTGAAATTTTTTTAACTTCATCTCTCTTCACTTTCTCTCCCCACTCACGTCTTCTTTCCATCTCTTCTATAAGGATAAATATTTCATATATATATATACATATATTAAACACATTTCATTTATATAGTAAATTATTTATAGTATATTATCAGCACGAACGTTTTTTAATTTATATTGTGAAGTCAAATCAATATTAGAGAGATAAAATTTATTTTAGTTTAATTTATAAAATTTATTATTTACAGAAAAATAGGCTTTGCCTTCTCCGTTTATATGTGATGCCGGGATAGTAGGCTCTATCTTCTACGAATATATCTTTATGGTAAGGTACGTCTTCACGATCAAAATAATCACATAGTAGACTATGTCACCTTAGATCATGGAGTAGGAGATTAAAATCCTTATCTTTATTTATTTATTTATTGTATGCGTGATTAAAACTCTTCATCTTTATTCATTTATTTATTATGCAATCAGCAATTATATAGTAGGTTCTGCCTCCTCATATTGTTTTTATTTATTGTCTTTTATTATGCCGTTACTACACTCAAATTTTTAATCTAACGAATTACGCTTTTGTTATTGAGTAATAATTTGTCAAAGCTCGAGATCGTCACCCTTGACTTGTGTGGAAAAAGTTATATGTCTTGGGTGGTAGGTGCAAGATTGCATCTAAAGAGAAATGATCTCTTGAGCACTATCGATACGTCGGAAATGATATTCGATGAAATAAGATGAAAGTCATGATCTTTTTACGCTACCATATCCATGATGGTTTAAATGATAAATCCATCACGAGTAAAGATCCTTAAGATCTTAGAAAATAAGTGGTTGAATCTCCAGGCGAGAGAATTCACCCAAAGCTCGGAGTTGATATAAATCCTCCTGGTAGCTTAACGATATAATAAACTCATGATGAGAAACCATCAGTTTCGTCCAACTAAATTAACTCCATTCCTAGGGGAGAATGTTGAGTAATCCATTTACAGTAAGTGTGATGGACGAATTCAATGAAAGAAAATGATGATGGTTGGGACTTTGAAAACCAAAAACTTAATAGTTTTGATGTATTATATGCTTTTGCTATAGGTTTTATTGTACCAGAAGCTGTATTATCACGTATGTGTTTAATACTTATTAATGAATTTTTTATAAATAGTTTAAATTCAGAAAATGCCATAATTTAAGACTATGGATGGAGAAATATGTCTGGCAGACAGTGCTACAACGCTCACGATTATTAAAGATAAAAATGTATTTTGTAGTCTCAAAATAAACGATTTCGCTGAAAGTGTGAATATGATATCTGGTAATGCAAAGATTATTATGGGCTCCGGAAGAGTCAGTTTTTCAATGCCAAGGGGAACAAAATTTGAGATAAATGATGCGTTATATTCCCCAAAGTCTTAAGAAACTTATTAAGTTTCAAAGATATCCGCGGAAATAGACATCATATAGAGACTATGAATAAGAGTGGCATTGAATATCTTTGCATTACATCAGAGAGGAAACATATATTGGAATAATTCAAAATGTTATCCTCTGGATTATATTGCACAAAAATAAACATGATTGAATCATATATTACAGTTAACCAGAAGTTTACTAGTACTTTTAAAGTTTGGCATGAAAAGTTAGGCCATCCTGGTTCAGTCATGATGAAAAAGATTGTGCCAAATTCTAATGACCATCCATTGAAAAACGCAAAAATATTACAAACGAGCGAGTTTTTATGTAATGCTTGTTCTCAAGGAAAACTCGTTACTCGATCATCACCAGACAAAATTGGGAATGAATCACCATAATTTTTGGAAAGAATACATGGTGATATATGTGGGCCGATCTATCCACAATGCGGACCGTTTAAATATTTTATAGTTTTGATTGACACATCTAGTAGATGGTCACATGTGTGTCTATTGACCACACAAAATACGGCTTTCACTAAATTCATTACCCAAATAATCAGGTTGAGAGCACAATTTCATGATTATGTTATAAAGAAAGTAAGGCTGGATAACGCTGGTGAATTCACTTTACAGGTGTTAAATGATTATTGTATGTCTTTGGAAATTGATGTTGAGCATACGGTTCCACATATTCATACACAAAATGGCATGGCTAAGTCATTGATTAAACGGTTGCAACGGATTGCAAGGACGTTAATATTGAGAACAAGAGTCCCAATTAATGTATAGGGATATGCTATTTTGCATGCAGCGGTCTGATCCTGATACGGTCAAGTGCATATAATGAGTATTCTCCATTACAGTTGGTATTTGGACAGTAGCCAAATATATCCCATCTTCGTGTGTTTGGGTGTGCGGTCTATGTCCCAATTGCGGCACCTTAAAGAACAAAAATGGGACCACAGAGAAGATTGGGAATATACATCAGTTATACGTCACCGAGTATAATTAGGCATCTTGAACCAATAATAGGTTATATATTTACGGCACGTTTCGCCGATTGCCATTTTAATAAAGAAGAATTCCCCACGTTAGGGGAGGATTGAGAGAATCACCAAAAGATATCACTTGGTGTACAAAATCTTTGGCTTATCTTGATCTTTCTACCAATCAACGTGAGATAAAAGTTCAGAAAATTGTGCATATGCAAAATATGGCAAACTGATTACCAGATGCGTTCACATATATAAAGAGGGTGACAAAGTCATATATCCCCGCAGCAAATGTTCCATCCAAAATTAGTGTTCCTGAAGAACACATTGATGGGAACATATCAAATGAACCTAGGGTTCAGTTGAAAAAGGGGTGGCCGATGGGTTCTAAAGATAAAATTCCCCGAAAGAAAAATAATATGAGAGAAGAAAGTAAAAAGGTTCTAGAAGAACGAGATAAAGAGATTCGACTTGGAGACGAATGTGAAACTGAAAAATATGAGATTTCCATCAATTACGTCCAAAATGGAGAATTATGGATCATAATAAAATAAAAGATATTGATGGAATATTCTCCTTTTCTATATATAAAGAGCTCGAAAGCGATGATCCTGATCCAATGTCCATATTAGAATGTCAGAAAAGACATGATTGGGAGAAATGGAAAATGGCCATTGAAACAGAATTACTCTCCCTCAATAAAAGAAAGGTTTTTGGACCTATTGTCACAACACCAGAGTATATAATGCATGTTAGATACAAATAGGTGTTTGTAAAAAAAATGAGAAAATGAGGTCACAAGGTATAAAGCGAGGCTTGTGGCTCAAGGTTTTACTCAAAGACTGGGAATTGATTATGAGGAAATATATTCCCCGGTAATGGATGCAATAACATTCATATTCTTAATGAGTCTAGTAGCATCCATGAATCTAGACATGTATCTGATGGATGTTGTGACAACATATATATATGAACCACTTGAGAATGATATATATATATATATATATATATATATATAAATCCTCGAAGGATTAAAAATGTCGAAAGCATTAAGATCAACATCTAAAGAGATGTGTGTGATTAAATTATAGCAATCACTTTACAGATTAAAAAAATCTGAACGCATGTGATATAATCGTTTGAGTGAGTATTTGTTGAGTAAAGGTTACGTCAACAATGCGATATGCCCTTGTGTGTTTATTAAGAAATCCACTTCAGGATTTGTGATCATTGCTGTTTATGTTGATGACCTGAATATAATCGGAAATCAAAAAGAGATTGATGATGCAAGAACTCATATGAAAGAAGAGTTCAAAATGAAAGATCTTGGAAAGACAAAGTTTTGTCTTGGGCTCCAGATAGAGCATTTCCAAGATGGTATATTTTTGCATCAATCAAATTATACGAAAAGGATCTTAAAACGCTTTAGCATGGATAAAGCGAGTCCTTTGATTATTCTGATTGTCAATAGATCGCTCGATGTTGATAAAGATCCATTTCGGCCATGTGATGATAGCAAAGAAATATTAGGTCCTGAAGTACCTTATATGAGTGCTATCAGTGGGCTTATGTATCTTGCAAATTGTACTATACCTGATATAGCTTTTGCTACTAATTTACTTGCAAGATACAGCTCATCTCCTACACGCTGAAATTGGAACATATTATAACATATATTCCGTTATTTACAAGGTACCATTAAATTTGGTTTATTTTATTCTTGAAACTCTGAGTTTGGTATGGTTGGTTTGCAGATGCAGGATATTTATCAGATCCGCATAAGGCTAGATCGCAAACTGGATATGTTTTTACAATTGGAGGAATTGCGATTTCTTGGCGTTCCAAAAGCAAACTTTGGTTGCAACGTCTTCAAATTATGCAGAAACTATTGCATTGCATGAAGCTTGTAGGGAATGCATATGGCTCAGATCTATAATTCATCATTTACAAGATACAAGCGGAATAGAGACAAAGAACGAGCCAAAAAAAGTATTTGAAGATAATGCTGCATATGTTGCTCAACTTAAGGAATGCTATATCAAAAGTGATCAAACAAAGCATATCCCTCCAAGATTTTTCTCTTACACAAAAGAGCTCGAGATAAATCAAGAAGTGGACATTCAATATGTTCGTTCATGTGACAATGCAGCTGATCTGTTTACGAAGGCACTTCCCACTACAACATTCAGAAAACATATTCATAGTATCGAAATGTGTCATCTCCAAAATCTATAAAGAAAAGATTATATCCATCTTTTCCAGAGGGAGCGTTACTACACTCCTTTTCTATTTTTATCCTAAACGGTTTTTTCATAATAAATTTTTAACAAAGCAGTACATAATAATCATTAGTGATGGATAATCAAGAAGAAGTGTTAAATAAATAATGAATATCCACTCTTTTGTTCTTATTAATTAAAGCTTGTTTACTAAGCTAAGCTAAGCTAATGTTTACTATAAATAGGTGTATTGTTATAACATTACATACATAAATGAGAAGTGAAGAAAATTTAACTTCATCTCTCCTCTCTTCCCACCTCTCCCCACTC